TGTTGTAGAAGCTGCAGCGAGTGATCCAGAAAATCTAGATAAGATCACTGATGAAGGTGGCTACACTAAACAACAGATTTTCTTTTATTTCAGAATATTATGGGGCAAACAACAGATTTTCAATGTAGATGAAACGGTTTTCTAATAGAAGCAGATGCTATCTAGGACTTCCCTACTAGAGAGGAGAAGTCAATGCCTGGCTTCTAAGCTTCGACGGACAGGCTGGCTCTCTTGATAGGGGCTGATGCAGCTGGTGACTTTAAGTTGAAGCCAATGCTCACCTACCATTCTGAAATCCTAGGACCCTCAAGAATTATGCTAAGTCGACTCTGCCTGTGCTCTGTAAAGGGAACAACAGAACCTGGATCTGTTTATAGCATGGTTTACTGAATATTTTAAGCCCACTGTTGTGACCTGCTGCCCAGAAAAAGAGACTCCTTTTAAAATATTATATTACTGCTTACTGACAATGCACCTAATCACTCAAGAGCTCTGATAGAGATGTACAAGGAGATGAATGTTGTTTTCATGCCTGCTAATACAGCATCCATTCTGCAGCCCATGGATAAAAGGAGCAATTTTGATTTTCAAGTGTTATTATTTTATTATTATTATAATATTATCATTAAGGCTTATTTATAGCTGTGATAGGTAGTGATTCCTCTGATGCATCTAGGCCAAGTCATTTCCTTCTGGAAAGACTTCACCATTCTAGAGGCTATTAAGAACATTTGTGATTCATGGGAGTAGTTCAAAATATCAACATTAACAGCAGTCTGAAAGCTGATTCCAATTCTCATGGATGATTTTAAGGGGGTCAGGACTTCAGTGGAGGAAGAAACTGCAGATGTGGAAATAACAAGAGAACTAGAGTTGGAAGTAAAGCCTTATAATGGGGACCAAATTCCTATAATCTCACGATAAAACTTGAGCAGATGAGGAGTTGCTTCTTATGGATGAGCAAAGAAAGTGGTTTCTTGAGACGGAATCTACTGGTGGAGATGCTGTGAACATTGTTTAAATGACAACAAGGGATTGAGAGTATTACATAAACTTAGTTGATAAAACAGCAGCAGAGTTTGAGAGGACTGAGTCCTATTCTGAAAGAAGTTCTACTGTGGGTAAAATGCTATCAAACAGCATTCACATGCTACAGAGAAATCTTTTGTGAAAGGAAGAGTTGACCAATGTGGCAAACTTCAGTGTTGTCTTATTTTAAGAACTTGCCACAGCCACCCCGGCCTTCAGCACCCACACCCTGATCAGTCAGTAGCCTTAACATTGAGGCAAGACCCTCCACCAGCGAAAATGTTACAACGGGCTGAAGGCTCGTATGATTGTTAGCATTTATTTTAGCAATAAAGTATTTCTAATTAAGGTATATACATTGTTTTTTAAACATAATGCTATTGCACAATTAATAGACTATGGTATAGTAAAAACAACTTTTATATGCACTGGGAAACCAGAAAATTTGTGTGACTCACTTAATTCTGGTATTCACTTTATTGCATCGGTCTGGAACCAAACCCGCATACCATCTCTGAGTTTTGCCTGCAAATATGCATTATGCATGATACATATTTGTCTCTATTTGCCTATATGGGCAGGGAGAAAAATATTGAAGGATGTTTTCTGAATTGTTAATATGGAATATATAATGGGAGATTGTTATGGGGGTTGGGAGAGAGGGTAAGACATCCAAGCCAAAAAAGAAAAAAGTTCAGATAAGAAGACTGCAACAAATACATATATGATCATTCTGTATTCATGTCAAATTATATGTATGTGTCTATAATTTATGTTTTGAATATATTTCTTCAAGAAAGAGTTAATTTTATTTTGTCACTGTCCTGTTTAAAACTCTTCAGTGGCTTTCTTATCTCAAAGACTAGCATTTTGACTTGCAAGAGCTGGCCCCTCCCTGCTTGTGTGTCCAGCCCAGCTGGTACTGATTTTCTTGCGTCATTACCGCTCCTGCCATAGGGTTTTCATAGTTGTTGTCTTGACAGGGCTCTGCCCCACTCTTCTTGGCAGAGGGAACTGCTGCTCATTCTGCAGAACTCAAGGGAGCCTTCCCCAACCCTTGTTGGTTCTCTAAGTGTGTGTTCCTATTGACACCTGATGCTTTTACTCAGCAGCACTCATCACAGTTGCAGCTGGTGTTTACCTAATTAATTGTGTGAAGCTGGCCTCCCCTGATAGAAAGTCAGCTCTAAGGGGGAAGGGTCTCTCATACAATAGATGCTGAATGAGTATTTCCTGAATGAAGAAATGGATGGATGAATCCCATCCTGAAGGATGAGGCCACACTGTTCTGAAAGGGACACTGACCAAAGAGCCAGAAAATGTGTGTCTGGTCCCTGTGGTGCCGTAAACTTGCCTCACCTGTAAAATGGGGCTAATAACGCCTACAGCATGGAGATGTGGAGAGGGTTAAGGGGAACACAAGAGGACGTGAACGCACAAGCAACAGAGAGTAAGCCTGCAGTGAAACTGTCCATTTCTCTTGGTGCCTTGCCACTTCACCAGTGAAATGGGGTAATGTGACTAAATAAATTTTAGAGTTTCTCCTAGCTCAAAATTTTACAGTTGACCCTTAAACAATGCAGGAGTTAGCCCCTCTGCATAATCAAAAATCCACATATAAATTTTTGACTCCCTCAAAACTTAACTACTAATAACCTACTATTGACCAGACCTTACCGGTAACATACAACATACATAGTCAATTAACACATTTTGTATGTTATAGGTATCATATACTGCATTCTAACAATAAAGTAAGCTAGAGAAAAGAAAATGTTATTAAGAAAATCGTAAGGAAAAGAAAATACACTTATTATTTGTTAAGTGGAAGTGGATCGTCATCATAAAGCTCTCCATTCTCCTCATCCTCACATTGAGTAGGCTAAGGAGGAAGAGGAGGAGGAAGGGTGGCCTTGCCGACTCAGGCAGAGGTGGAGGAAAAATTGTGTGTAAGTGGACCCAGGCAGTTCAAACTTGTGTTGATCAGGGGTCAACTATACTGTGATTTCTTTTGGGCTGCAGTCTCCTCTTTCCCTACCCTTGGTTCTCTCCACCGCTAGCTCCATTCCTGACACTTCCTTCTTGTTGTTCTCAAGCCCAGGAAACACTGCCTCTCCCTGGGAAAGACGGAAGCCATCTTTAGGCAGCCAGAATGTGGCAGTTCATCCCTTACCTACTCTCGTCTACCACCACCCTACTCACTATTACTCATTCACTCATTTTCATTTAAGACATTTTGGAGTCTCCACTCTTGTGTATGGATAGACTTACACTCCTCAACTTTTATTCCTTTCCATCTGACTTCCCACTTATGCTGCTGAGTGGGAGAGAGAGTGCATGACCAGCAAAGCACTGGAAAGACACGGGCATGTTTTTGAGGGCAGTCCTCCTTAATTAAGGGAGATGGGTTCTAAAAATTCTTGCAGATAGACAAATGGGAGGATATTTGCTTCTAATTTGAAATTACTGAACACAGTTAGTCTACAACTGGTCTATTTAATGTTCTTGATTTCTCCTGTGGTCTTTCAATTTACCCTAATTGGTACTAGGCAAAAACTTCAATCAAGTTTTAATTTATCCTTAATGTTAGCCCTAAACAGCTGCTGTTCTCTCTTAAGAAGGAAGTCAAGTTTTGGAGCAAGATGCATTTAAACCCATTTGGGGTGTCAAAAATATCCCAACCTCATGGGTCTAATAAATGCTTCACAACTGGATTGGAGTGGATGGGGAGAGAAGGCTCTGATATGAAGCGTTAGTTTCTGTGCTGTAAATACTCTCACCATGGTAGATTTTAAGCTGTCAACCAGACTTCACTGAATGGAGTCGGGCAGAGAAGCTAACAATTGGCTCATGTGAGTAGGTTGGGCCCAGCACCCACTGTACCCAATCCCTGAGTCCTTCATCTTCATCATACCCCAAAGTGCTTTCCAGTCATTGCTTCTGATCTCAATTAATGACACCTGTCAGCCAAGAACGACACCTGACAGTCCCATCAGCTCCTCCCTCGTCCTCCTCTTTCACACCTAGTCACTGAATCCTGCTGGTTTCATTTCTCAAATGTCTGAGCCTGTTCCCTGTTGCATCCCCACCACCGACACCCTGCCCTAGTCTGCCCTGTCTACAGCTTTCATTGCCACAGCACTGACTTCAATTGTGGTTCTTCTGCCTCCATGCTTGCCCCTGTCAACCTCTCTCCACTCTAAAGACAGAGTTAGCCTGCTGACACTTAAATTATGTCAGGCCAGCCTTCCGTTAAAAATCTTTCTGTGGCTTCCTCTTGCCATTAGGATAAGTCCAAACCCTTAGCATAACTTGTACCTAACCCCTGTGGACCCCCCCCCACATAGACTGTGATCTGGCCCCTGCCTGTCTCACTCCCCAACAGGCTTCCCTGGCGCTCTTGGTTCTAGCCACTAGGAATTGCTGTATTTCCTCAAGCACCCCAAGCTCTTTCTCGACTCTTCCTTTGGAGGTGCTGCTTCCTTTATCTGTGTGATCATCTCTCCTCCCCCTCCCCATCCACTCACCCAGCGGCCCTAAGGGGGCTAACTGCCCGTCATCCTTCAGTGATTTGTGTGGTCTTCTGTCAGTTCCAGCATGACTTCCAGGGGGAGGCCCTTGGCTGGGGGCTCTCCTTGCTGCGGCCCCTCGTGCGTGTGTGCGTGGGTGTGCCCTGTGTCTTCTCCACACCGGGGACTCCTGCAGGGCCTGGGGTGCTGGTCTGTGCTGCCGGATTCCCAAACGGCCCACGGTGCCTGTGTTTGGCTGGTGCTCCATAAATGTCGCCTCCCTTCTTGGATTTATGCAGGCCCCAATTTTCTATTACAGAGTAAGTTCTGTGTGGTCAAACATGTTCTTACTTCCTGTGCTTTCTGTCAGCAGTTTATCAGCTTCGCAAAAAAAGCACCTGATGAATAATTTCTGCCCCTAAAGTCATGTTGTTTTTTCTAACCAATTTTTCCCCCTCCTAGATTCCATCAGCTGTAATTTCCAACAAGTATATGCGACTGTGAATGACAGTGTAACTTTTCATCCAGCAAGCCACACGCCTTTTCAAGAGATTCTGTGGAAAAAACAAAAGAATAAAGTTATAGAATGGGAAGAAAACTCTGAGTTCAAAGCTTTCCCACCTTTTAAAGATAGAGTTCATTTAGACCCTGTGTCCGGTAACCTCACTATCTTCAATTTAACATCATCAGATGAAGACGAGTATGAAATGGAATCCCCAAGTCTTACTGGTACCATCAAGTTCTATCTTTTTGTGATTGGTGAGTATTGCACAAATTGATTTGTTTTAAATGGCAAATTTCCACCTATTTTCAGAGACAATACATAAATGAGATGTCACGTGTTGGCAGGGTTCTCTCCTCTTTCTGGCCTACAGGAGCTAGCTCCTTTCAATTCCTTTGTCATCCCCTGGGTGAGGAGAGAATCTGGCCGAGGTGGGGCAGACAGCACCAGTTGTCCTGCTAGGAATGTTCTGGGAATGGGTGCAGTGACTGCAACTAGCTCCGAGCTCCTTGAGCTCTGCTGATAGATGGTGCTCTGTAAATTAGAGTGGCTGGTGTTTTTCTTCCTGTACCCTTTTGAAACTAGAACTGGAGATAGGGTACAGGTTTGTCCCTGCTTCTCCCTGATGTTTCCTGGTTGTTCTCCTTTCTTCGTCTCCAAAGCCCCTTCCTTGTTGCAGTCATTTATAGTCCCCTGGGTCACATTTTAATGCCTGCCTCATTTTCACTGTTTCTAACCTTCCTGCTGTCATACCTGGTGGTGGTTGGACATTTAAACGAAAGTTCTTGCTAATATCCTCTCAGTCCTTGGCCTCCTCTCCTGTCATGATCTTGTCCTCTACCCACGCCCTGAGATAACTGAGAACTTGTCATCCCCTCAGTGTTGGGGGTCCCACCCTGCCCACCACCTCTTGTGTTTGAAGCTCATTTCCTCTACTGGGCTGACACTGACAGTCCTTCACCCACCCACTGTCCTCTTGGCCCTCCTTACTTGGCTGATTGCCACTGTCACTCACTGGCCTCAATCCACAGCAGCCACCCTTTCCTTGCTCCAGTGTCGTTTTTTAGACAGAGTCTCGCTCTGTCACCCAGGCTAGAGTGCAGTGGCATCATCACAGCTCACTGCAGCCTCAAACTCCTGGGCTCAAGCGATCCTCCTGCCTCAGCCTTCCGAGTAGCTGGGACTATAGGTGCGCACCACCACATGCAGCTATTTTTTTTGTAGAGATGGTGGTCTCCCACTTGCTCAGGCTGGTCTCGAACTCATTACCTCAAGTGATCCTCCTGCCTCAGCATCACAGACCGCTAGGATTGCATTTGCTAGCCACTATGCCCAGCCTGTTGCTCCATTTTTTATTTGTCATACTCACATGGACAGATTACAATGGGGTTAAATCCAGTACTTTGCCTATTCTGTGCTATCTGCCTATTCTTTGCCTATTCACTCCACTGGAAAATTTTGTTGTTTCTACCAGAGTGATCCTTTTTAAACAGAAGTCAGATCTTGTCACTCACCTGTGCAGAAAAAACACATCACCCTGCAGAATCCTGCACTTTTAGTTTCTAATCACTCACCTCCACTAAACCAGCTATTCCCTAGCCTGTCCACTCGCCCACTCTCCTGGTGGTTATCTTTACTCTCCTCAAACCTCAACTCCCTTCTTTGCAGACTCGCTCCTCAGCTGAAGGCTCTGCTTCTTGTTTTACTAAGGAAGAGAAGCAATCAGAGGGGAATTTCCACAAGCTCTCACCGCCTGTCCACCTTCCTACCTGTATCTGAACCTGTGTGCCCTGTTTTCTTTCCTGATACAGTGAAGGAACTTTCTAAGTTCTCACCTGAGGCCAAACTTTCCACGCGTGCCCCGGATCCCACCTCCTTATCACTCTAGTGATTCTGCCTACTCTCTCCTTGCAGTGATTTCCCCCAGGACTTAGTGGTTCATTTTCACAGCACATAAATATGTTGTCATCTGAACCCTCTCAGGAGCCCTCTCCCCTCCAGCAATCTGTCCCTGCTTCTGTCTTCACTTTACAGAAAATCTCCATGAAGAAGTCCGCATTCACCTGTTCTGGCCCCTCTTCTCTTAGTCACTTTTTACCCACTCACAGTAGGCTTTCATTCCCACTACTAGGCCAAATCTCTTGACCTTCTTGTTAATGAAGCCAGTGGCCCATTCTCAGTCCACATCTTTCTTGCCATCGTGGCAGTTTTTGACCCAGCTGATCACTCCCTCCTTGAAGCACTTCCAGGATACCTCCCTATTCAGGTTTTTTTTTTCCTAACTTACGGACTATATTCCTTTTCAAAGTTTCCTTTGCTGGTTCCCTCATTTCCCCAACCTTTTACCCTTGAACACTTAAAGGCTTCAGCCTCAGGCTTCTCCCCTTGTCTGCCTACACTCACAGCCAGCGGGCGAGCTCAGCCCATGTCAGGGCTGTGAATGTCATCGCGACACTGAATGCACAGGTTTACCGCTTGAGCCTGGACCCTCACTGAGCTGCTCATGTGTACACCTGACTGCCGACTCTGTATCTCCACTCAGATATCTGTTTGGCCTTTCAAATGTCACCTGTCCAGAACTAAGCTCGTTATCTTTCCCTTAAAACCTGCTCCTCCCCACACCTTTCCCCCCTTGGGTAATGCAGCTCCATTTTTCTAGTTAATCATGCTAAAACCTGGAGGTCATCCTGGACACCTTTATTTTTCTTGCACACCACATTCACTCCACTGGGAAATTTTGTTGTTTCTACCAGAGTGATCCTTTTTAAACAGAAATCAGATCTTGTTACTCACCTGTGTAGAACTTTCTAGTGGCTCCAGCTCACCCCAAGTTACAGCTAAAAATCTTTACAGTGGCCGGCAAAGCTGTTTGAGATCTGGCCCCAGTGAACTTCATTCAGACAAGTGAAGCTTGTTAAAATGTCAAGGCATCCTGTTAGAAGAACCAATAGATCCCTTTGAGGAAGTAGAATCTTTGAAACATGGAAGTCAGGGATCTGGCAGTTTATAGGGCCAACAAACAAAAAGATTGATTTAGAATTTAGATAAAAATAGAATGCATTTTAAGAGCCTTTTTGTAGAGTTTATAAAACTATGTTCAAAACATTTGAATAAGTTTCTCTTTTTAAACTTGATGAAATGTTTTAAAACAATTTAGTTTTTAAAATGCTATAGTAACACAACCAAGGCGCACGATTTGGGTAGTCAGACCAACAGGGAGCTTAGTGAAGGCCCGCAGAGGAGTGAATTGCAGGGGACAGGGGTTTTGATCTGGAGGCAGTGATATTGACAGTGCCGCATGTGGGACTTAAAGTCCTGGTTGAGAGTCTGGGCTTTAGCCTGTGGCAGTGGGGAGCCAGTGTATCTGAAACTGGAGCAGGGAAGTGGCTTAATGAAATATATTTTTGTAAGATTAATCTGATGGTGGGTATTTATGATAGATAAGAGAAAGACAATGCCAGGTTAGAAGCTACTGTGATCATCCAGGTAGACAGAAGGCTTAGTAGGAGATGTTTGGAAAGGAAAGAATCAAAAGATACAGCCAAGAAAGAGGCAACAAGATTTAGCGTTTGGCATAAGATGACTCTAGGTTTCACACCTCAATGGTAAAAGAATTCGTCATACTTTTTTTTTTCTTCTTCTTTTAAGAAATGAGGAAGTCACACTTCCTGGAGGTTATGTTAATACATGTTTAAGTAACTTGTTAATCTTCTGGAGACACCAGACCTAATAGGAGACTTTCAGCAAGTATATTTTTGACAGGGGGATTTTCTGGCACCTCCTAAATTCAGGGCATCCACTTCCTTCTGTGTATAAGTTGAGATCTGCCTTTCTTAGCCCCGAAGTCCCCTTGGAATTTCCACCATTCATGTTTATTAGTTCTTTCTCCTCCCCTTATAAACCTTTATCACATTGAAGATGATGATTTTCCTCTAAGCAGAATTGACTGCTCTGTCCTTAAATGGTCTGGATTGGTATGTGACCTTTTTTAAAGTTAATGGAAGTATATACATATTTCTATAACATGTCATCAGATATGTGTAAGAAATTCTCATTCTTACACAGCATTGAGCTAAATTCATTAATTATAAATTGATTAATTATCTTAGGAATGAAGTAGGCACTGTGCTTAAGGTACAGATATAATTAATATATGTTAGATAGCGATGTGGTTAAGTCCCACGGGCAGTGAGAAAATATGGAAGATTTATAAAAGGAAAAGATCTGAGGTGCAGAAACTCTGATCTAAATGCTGCAGAAAGGCTCGCACACTTTTAGGCGAGTCAGATAGGCACTTCTGGGTTCTCCCTCTGGTGACAGCAGTCTATGAGACAGTCAGATAGGGCTTCTGTATAGTTAAGGGAGTCCCAGTAACACAGAAGATAATACTAGTACTAGCATGTCCACACGTTTCCCCGCAAATAACTCTCACATTCTGTTTGGCCTTTGCAATAACCTGATAAAGCATTCCCTTTTACAGATGACAATGAGAGCAGTTAGGAGTGGGTTTCTCCGTTTGTAGAATGAGAGGCCTGGACTGGATGATTTCCTAAGTCTTTTAGCTCCTAGAAGAACGGTGGCCCAAGGTCACACAGCAAGCCAAGGGCAAAGCTCAAACCTCTCGTCTCCTGGTCAGTGACTCTTCTCATCGTGTCACACATCCTCCTGGAGAGCCTTGGCCTCCTGGAGCTGATTACTCATGGCCACCAGCTTTGTGCTCTGTTGTAGCTAGCATCTGTTAAGCACTTACTCTGTGCAGGCACTACATGTTAATTCACATATGAGTTATTACGTGTATCAACTCGTTTAACCCTCATCACAGTCTGATGGGGTAAGTACTATTTGTCTCCCCCCTGTAGAGAGGAGGAAACCTAGACATGGGGTGTCAAGCGGCTCTTAGTAATGGAGCTGGGATATGGACCCAGGCTTCTGAGAAGATGCTAAAGACCGTATCATTCCTTTTTGGAAGTGAGCTGGTTGAAGACTTTACATTTTATAAAATGAAGAAAGTAATCTGAAGGCTGTCTCTCTGAATTTGTCCTTCTGTCCATCTGTCTCTCCAGCCAGCCAGCGATACTTGTGAGGAGCCATCTGTGTGCCTTCTATTGTATCAGGTGCTGTGGTTGAAAGGTGAATAATACCTGGTCTTTGCCCTCCAGCGATTCACAGTCTGGGGGCTCATGATATATATGCCTCTGTTCAGCTCAGAAAGGATTGGATGAAAGACTAGACAGTGGCTGAACTAGCTGAACAAGTTATAATATAATCTGTAATGGGAAAAATGGGCCAACCACATAATGGGATCCAGGAAACTATCTATATATATATATATATATTTTTTTTTTAGACAGAGTTTCACTTTGTTGCCCAGGCTAGAGTGCCATGGCGTCAGCCTAGCTCACAGCAACCTCAAACTCCTGAACTCAAGCAATCCTACTGCCTCAGCCTCCCGAGTAGCTGGGACTACAGGCATGCGCCACCATGCCCGGCTAATTTTTTCTATATATATTTCTAGTTGGCCAATTAATTTCTTTCTATTTTTAGTAGAGACAGGGTCTCACTCTTGCTCAGGCTGGTTTTGAACTCCTGACCTTGAGTGATCCACCCAGCTCAGCCTCCCAGAGTGTGCTAGGATTATAGGCGTGAGCCGCTGCGCCCAGCAGGAAACTGTATTTTTAACATGCACCCTCAGTGGCTCTTAGGCACATTGAAATCTGAGAAATGCTTCAAAGGAACATTTCTAAGGAAGTAGAGAGTTGGGTTTTCTGCCCATGAGAAATGCCCAGACTAGTTGCAGAGGCAGCTGTTAGGTACCTGCAGTACTGAGAACAGGCATTTCTGTTCTCTTCTGGGGACACAAGGGTTCCTTAGAAATCCCCCAGGGGCTGCTGTAGGGGAAGGGTAGGTGATATGGACCACAGGAAGCTGGGGGAGCAGGGCCCTGGGCTTTTTGAGTCAGCTAGTGCAGCTCCTTATCCATTTGATGGGATTGTCACCTAACATTTAATTTGGAGAATTTAATCATGCTTAAAACACGATTAAAAGTTATTTCTGCTAAAGAAAACCTTAAGGCAGCATGTAAGGAGTTACGTGAGTTAGATTAAACTTAAAAATTGAGGAAGCACCAAGTAAAAAGGGAAGTCTCGTCTCTAACTAGGCAAGCTGTGATCTCTGGTCTCTGACTAGGCAGGCTGGGTATATTATTTAACTGAGAAAGAATTCAGGAGAAGGATGAGATGGGGGTAAGATTAAACACTTTTATTTTTTAGATTATTAATTAGAGTTTAAACATTCCTTTGTCTTAGAAAGCATCATTTTATCTTATTTTTATTTATTTATTTTTTATTTTATTTTAGCATATTATGGGGGTACAAGTGTTAAGGTTACATATATTGCCCATGCCCCCTCCCCCCTCGTGTAAGAGCTTTAAGCATGTCCATCCCCCAAATGTTGCACATCTTACTCGTTGTGGTTGTATATACCCATCCAGAAAGCATCATTTTAAATGACAGCTTAGTATTTCATTATCTTGGTGAACCTTAATTTACCTTAATACCCTTTTTTAGTAGATGTTTGAGACTTTATTGTCCAAGTGATATACCATGACCATTGATGTATAATAAAATATATTTTCACATGTTTTTTTCAAGTCTCTTGTGATTAATTGCTGAAGGAAGATTAAGATACAAGAAAGCATATGAATGAACAAATGAATAATAGTACAAACTAATTAGCACTGAGGTTTGGGGGGACAATAATGGCATAATGTGACATGTGAGTATCTTAACCCACCCTTCAGGTCCAGGCACCCCTGGCCAGTAGGAGGTGCTTCCTAGAGGAAGGCTGGGAGTTGAGGCCTCTGGACTGGCAGGCCTGTGACTCATGCTCCACCTCACTCTGCCAGCAAGCTGGCCCAACCAACAGGCAGGGCCTGCAAGGCTCTGTGTAGCTCCACAGAACCTTTAGAAAACCCCTTGGGTCAGATATGTTTTAGAATTATTATGATTAATTATTATTTTACATTTTGGAAAGGTAATACTAGGTATTTTCTCTCTGCATATTAAACACCTCGCCTAGTTATAGGGAGCACCCCATGGTCAAGCACAGGAATATTTTTGTGGTGAAACAAAAATGATTATGAATATTTGAGGTAAGTGAGAAAAAAATAAGGTTTATAAATCCTTGTGTTAAATTCAGACCAAAACTTGCAGATAAATGATTTTGGTACCAACTTGAGAAAAATCTTTTGGCTTTCAGAGCCTTTTTAAATTTCAGAACTGAGGATAAAGGGCTTGGGGCCCAAATGTATTCTGTTGCAGTTGAACAGGTAGATCTGATCTAGCAGAAGAGAGGATTTGCACCCCTTGGTGCTCAAGGAGGGGGTCTGCTCATCTTTCCGAGCTCATAAGGAAGTTGGGAGCTCTTCATAAATTTGTAGATTGTGACTCTGAATATTACTCTTTACTAAATATCACACTTTTTTTTCCAGAGCCTATTCCACCTCTTACACTAACTTGTTCATTGACTGGTCAAAACATTATGGTCCAATGTGAGACCGTGGAGCATTATGACAGCCATCCAGACCTTCTAACGTATGCATGGGATTGCCCTTCAGAACAATGTAAAAATAACTCAGGACCTGAAATGTATTTTGATATGGAAAGTGATCGTTCACAAAAAATACAGTGTGTTGTTAGCAACAAAGTATCCAAAAGCACATCGTCAATCATTTTGGAAACCTGTTTGCCAAGCACTGGTGAGTAAATAGCTAAATGTGTCATGGTGGGGATGACATTTACCAGTGGGGTCTAAGACCAGTGGTGTTTTGTGGTGGCTAACATAAGGTTCACAAGTTCAAAGTGTGAAATGAGTTTTACAGTTTCCACAGAAACCCCATTATAGATATTATAGATATAAAGCTAACCATTTTTTTTTTTTTAGCTCTGTGTTGAGCACCATTCTAATACATGTGTTAATCGATTCAGTCTTCACATCAATCCTTAGACAACCCTATTGTTTAGATGCTAGTATTTATCCCTATTTTATGGTGAGAAACCAAGACACAGGGAGTTTAAGTTGCTTGCCCAAGGTCAACAGGTAGTAAGTGGCAGAGCCTGAGGCCATCTGGCTCCAAAGCCCATGATCTTAACTATTGACAATGCTGCTTTATAATATTCTTAATAATCATTATGTTCTTAAAGGTTTCACATGTGCTATAAAAACATGCATTAGATATGTTTCTATAGGCTAACATTAAGTTAATAGCATGACAATCTGTCTAGGATATGGTTTTTTATGTTTAAGTATTATTTACATTTATAATTTTTATTATCTCTTTATGTTATTAATATATCCCCAGTTTAACAAACAAAATGATCAGTGAATTGAAAGTGGTTTATTAAAATATAAAAGAAGAGATAAAAATAGTAAATACTATAATTCAGAATAATATTGTATTAAGTTATTAAGTATGGAATGTCTGATTTCCTTAAGTACTAAGTTTGACGGTCGATATCTTTGACATTTCACTTTGACACTTCGTGTTTTTTTTTTTTTTTATTGCGAAGGTACATCCTCATTCTTTCAAACACATGTTTTGGCTTGTGATTATCTTTCAAAAATCTTTTTTTAGAGCAATTTTTGTGAAACCATGGATAAGTCAAAAATTCATGTTATTTTGTTTTATAATTTATTTTTTATTTCACAATATTATGGGGATATAAATGTTTTGGTTATAAATTGCCCTTGTATCATTTGAGTCAAAGTCACAAGTGTGCCCATCCCCTGGATAGCCTGCATTGCACCCATTAGGTATGAATTTACCCATCCCCACCTTGACCCACCTTAATTTCTGATGAACGTTACTTCCATATGTGCAGATAAGTGTTTATTGATTAGTTTCAGTTTAATGGTGAGTACATGTGCTGTTTGTTTTTACATTCTTGTGACACTTTACTTAGAATGATCTCCAGTTCCATCCAGGTTAATATAAGAGGTATTAATTAGTTCACCTATATTTCTTATGGCTGAGTAGTACTCCATGGTATACATATACCGTATTTTATTAATCCACTCATGATTTAATGGGCACTTGGGTTGTTTCCACATATTTGCAATTGTGAATTGTGCTGCTATAAACATTCGAGAGCAGGTGTCTTTTTTATAGTATGTCTTTTTTTCCCTTTGGGTAAATACCCAGTAATGAGATTGCTGGATCAAATGGTAGTTCTACTTTTAGTTCTTTTAGGTATCTCGAGACTACTTTCCATAGAAGTTGCACTAGTTTGCAGTCCTACCAGCAGTGTATGAGTGTTCTTAAGCAAACACTGAGGGAATTTGTCAAGAAAAGACCTGCCCTGCAGGAAGTATTCAGAACTGTATTATATACAGATCAAAACAATAGACACCTACCAGTGTAAAATTATTCAAAAGCTAAAGGTCAAAGCCTAGATACCATAATGGGTCAAGAGATAAAAAAACAAAAATAAAAACAAAGTTCTACTCAACAAGAGGAACAGAAATCTACCCCACTTATCAATTCTTTCAATAAATGTGAATGGCTTGAACTGCCCACTGAAAAGACATAGGCTGGCCAAATGGATAAAAAAAAATACAAGCCAAGTATCTGCTGTCTCCAGGAAACATATCTAATCCACAAGGACTCATTCAGACTCAAGGTGAAGTGATGGAAAACAATATTCCATGCAAATGGAAACCAAAAGAAATCTAGTGTAGTAGTTCTCATGTCAGATGATATAGACTTCAAATTAACAAAAGTAATGAAAGACAAAGATGGTCATCATATAATGGTAAAGGGAACAATTCAACAAGATGCCATAATAATTCTAGATATTTACACACCTAACACAGGTGCACTCAGATTCATAAAGCAAATCTTATGGATCTAAACAAAGTGATAAACAGCAGCATCATAATAGCCAGGTTAATAATAGCACCATAATAGCACCATGATAGCCATCTGCCCCTCTGACAGAACAGGACAGATCCTCCAAACAGAAAATAAACAAAGAAACAATGGACTTCAACAGAACTCTAGAACAAATGGGCCTAACAGACATTTACAGAACATTCTACCCCCAAACCACTGAATATACATTTTTCTCATCAGCGCATGGAACATTCTTTAAGATTGATCACATTCTAGGTCACAAAACATGTCTCTACAAATTTTTAAAAAAAGGAATTATACCATGTATCTTCTCAGAGCACAGTGGAATAAAATTAGAAATCAACTCCAGTAGAAACATTCATCTCTATACAAAGTCATGGAAGCCAAATACCTACTGCTGAACAATAGTTGGGTCAAGGAGTAAATTAAGATGGAAATCAAAAGATTCTTTGAACTAAATGATAAAAGGGACAAAAGTTATCAAAATCTATGAGATACAGCTAAAGCAGTCCTGAGAGGAAAATTCATAGCCATAAATACTTGTGCCCCAAAGAGAAAAGATCATAAATCAACAATATAATGAATCATTGTCTCAAGGAACTGGAAAAGGATGAGCAAACCAATACCAAATGCAGCGGGAGAAAAGAAATAACCAAGATCAGAGCAGACCTAATGACATCGATTAAAAAGAACTACACAGAAGATTAATGAAACAAAAGATTGGTTCTTTGAAATGATAAACAAAACTAACAGGCCTCTTGCTATATTAACCATAAGCAGAAAAGAAAAGACTCTAATACGCTCAATGAGGAATGAAAAAGGAAAAATTACAGCTGATATCATGGAAATACAAAATATCATCTCTGAATACTATAATAATCGATATGCACATAAACTTGAAAATATAGGGGAAATAGACAAATTCTTAGAAACACACAGTCTCCCTAGGCTTAATTAGGAAGAAATAGATTCCCTGAACAGACCAATATCAAGTAATGAAATTGAAGCAGCAATAAAAAAATCTTCCAAGAAAAAAGTCCCAGATCAGATGGTTTCGCAGCTGAAATTTACCAGACTTACAAAGAAGAACTGGTACCTAGCCTGCAGAAATTATTCCATAATGTAGAAAAGAAAGGAATTCTCCCCAACACATTTTACAAAGCCAGCATCACCTTGATACCAAAGCTAGGAAAGGACTCAAAAAAGAACAAAAAGAAAGGGAGGGAGGGGGAGAGAGAGAGAGAGAGAGAGAGAGAGAACCACAGACCAATATCCCTGATGAATACAGATGCAAAAATTCTCAGTAAAATTCTACCAAACTGAATTCAGCTGCTCATCTAAAAATAATTCATCAAGACCAAGTGGGCTTCGTCCCAGAAATGCAGGAATGGTGCAACATACACAAGTCTATAAATGTAATTTATAAATAGAAGTAAAAACAAAGACCACATGATCCTCTCATTAGACACAGAAAAAGCATTTGGCAAAATTCAGCACCTTTTTTTCTTCTTCTTTCTGAGACAGAGTCTCGCTCTGTCACCTGGGCTAGAGTGCTGTGGTGTCAGCCTAGCTCACAGCAACTTCAAATTCCTGGGCTCAAGAAAGCCTCCTGAGTAGCTGGGACTACAGGTATGCACCACCATGCCCAGAGTTCCAATTTTTAACTGATGGATTTGGTCCCTGAAGACAGAGAAAAGACCAAACCCATAGAGGTGTTACTCAAACGAGCATGGTTCACACAAGTCATAAAATTGCAAGAAGTTTTTAAAACTACCTGCAAAGTTATAATAGTTATGCTTGGAACAAACATTCCTTTATTAATTCCATCTTTTGAGTGTTACAGAATACCCAAAACATACAAAGTGGAAATGCAATTTGTTGTTGCTTATAGTGGGAATGATAAAAAACAAAACCAGCGTGGTTTTGGCTTTTGGGATATGTGTGCTGCACATAACCAACAAGAAGGAAGAAGATGACCGTGTACAGAAAGAGCAAGCGAGTTGAAATTTTAAAAAGCTTGAAATGTTCTAAGAGACAAAATAGTTGAAGGAAAAAATTTCTGAATAAGATTCCCCTATAGAATTACATGGAATATTTTAGGGGATTTTGAAAGGTTTTTGCCCTTGCACAGTTTTCACTCTACTTTGCCATTGGAATTGAATACCCAGGTAAGATGCCAGCCTCTGTAGATACTCTGATAAAAGATTTATAAAAGATTGACATAATAATATTCCTCTCAGTGATACTTTATAAGTGGTGTTAATTTGAAAACAAACACTTTTTATTATTAAATAATGGTGACTCATCTTTCTTTTACATTTACCCTCAAATTGATAATTCACATTACTAATTTCTGATGGAGTGTACTTCAAAACAAGGAAAGTTAGGAATAAAGAGGGGTAGTATATAATAAGAAAGAGGTCTATTGTCTAAGAAGCCATAATGATTCTTAATGTGCGTGCACCTAACAATAGAGTGTCAAACTACGTGAGGCAAAAACCAGAAGAACTAAATTTGTGGGATGCAGCGAAACCAGTACTTAAAGGGAAATTTATAACATTAAGTGCATATGTTAGAAAAGAATAACTGAAATCTATGATTTCAAATTCCACTCTAGGAAACTAGAAAAAAAGTTATGTATGGATATCAACAAACTGTTCTAAAGTTTATATGGGTAGGAAAAAGATCCAGAATAGCCAATAAAATATTAAAGGAGAATAGCAAAGTTGGAGGACTGATACTACCCACCTTCAAAGCTTACTATAAAGCTGTACTAATCAAGACAGTGTGGTATTGGTGAAAGAATATACAAATATATCAGTGGAACAGAATAGACAGACCAGAAA